GCGGTGCGGGCACAAAAGCGGAGCCGAGGGCGTGTGCCCGGCGCCGGGAGGGAGTGCGGGAGCCGCGGTGAGTCAGAGAGCGCAGATGGAGCGGCCGATAGCGCCGGCGGACCGTAAGCAAAGTCACTTTTTTGGGGGCGAAAAGTGCGACCCGGGTGCGTTTTGCTGGAAGATTCTCCGGCCGGAGCAGAAGGTGCCGAGGGTGCGGGGCAGCACCGCGGGCAGCGCTGGCACAAGGGAAGAAGCGAGCGCCACAATGGATCGCCCTCACTCGGCATTGTGTGCCCGGCAAGGCGCAGGGAGGCGGCAAAAAAAGGCAGCAAAAGCACGAGTTACTCCTCGCTCCCCGCCCCAAAAGTCTACTTTTTATGACGGGAAGCGAATATGTAAAGTAACACCGGGTTTTTATCCAAACTAGAAGAATGAGCATGTGTTGTGCTGCCCTTATCTGGTAAAGATACCATATGGTATCTCCACATGTTTTGCATTCATTTATTGCTGTATGATGCAATATTTTGCATCCTCCGGGGCTCTGGTGATGCAGCATCTTGCTTTTACTTCATATCAAAAGTAGCACCAATTACTCCGTGCAATCTTCTCCTTCTCTGCTTAAACGTCCTTTAATGAAAGCCTCTGCCGAAAAGTATTTAAATTCTTCAGATGAAGTTTCTTCCAATTGCAGTAAGAAAATCAGATCTCTTCATCTGGGAACTTGGGAATTGCTTTGTATAAAAACAACGATGACAAACATGAAAATTTCCAGCTAAAGCTTTGAAAATAAGTTATTAACTATAGATTTTATTTCTTAAATGATACTCTAAAAGTGTTGAATTTTTCCTCTTTTCATATTTCATAATATCAAGAGGCAGTAACGGGACCCAGGGAGAGCATTGCAGTGGAGGATTCCAGACCTGATTTTGGTCAGAATATTTAGGCTCTTAGTGCAGAGGTTAGAACTTTCAACTGCAGCAATTAAGTTACACATTACTTTGAATTATTTATAGCAGTGGATCTTTAATATAAGATGCCAATTTATCTTCATCTATCCTAAAGTTTGTCAGCTGATTTTTCTTATTTTTAAACAAACTCGAGCAGTGATTGATGGCAGAATAATTTGGGGGCAGAGGAAAATCAGTTTTGTGGGTGTGTTTAAAGAGAGTATTTCATGCATGAGGAGTGGCATGGAAGAAGCTGTAAAAATAGTTTTGAGAGAGATGAGTTCATTCTGATTAAATCAGAACTGGACCAATAAAGCTGTGAGATTATATGAAAGGGGGAAATCAGGGATTTTTTCTGTCCTTTTCAGTTGAAATTTCTTTATTGGCATGGGTATAAGAAGGCTAAATTTGGGGTTATCAGTGAGAATTTTTTTCCCTTAAGGAAATATTTTTCCATTGTTATGGATGACTGCTGCACACTGAGCACTCTGCCCTAAGGATAAAGTTCACATTAAAATAAGTTATTCTTGCCTCCCTTCACCATGGTCTTCAGGTAAGGGACAACCCCCAGCCCACAGACCAAAATCGTTGTTTCACCTGGGTGTTCCTGCCTGTCCCACACTTTACTGAAGCTGTTGAGGGTTATCAGGACAGAGTTTTTGTAAAGCCAATAAAATCTCATTTTCTGAGTCATTTAGATGCTCGCTCCAGAAATTGCTAGCAGAATATATTTATTGAAGACATCCAGCAGCGTCTGTCTAGAGGAGCTCTAAATTTGGATTTTAGTGTTTATTTTTTTCCTCTGAACAGGACGCTCACTTGCAGTTTTTCCAAGCACTTGTGGGTGCAATTTAGAAAAAAAAAATCAAATTACTGAGAGTTTCTCCACGCAGATAATCACTTTTCAGGCCGTGTCTGGGATCTACCTGTGCCCTGTTAGCCAGGGAAGCTCTTCAGGTGGAGGTAGTGGAAAAAGTTCTGGACCAAACTCGAGCTCTCAGCCCAACTCCCGCAGCCCAGGGGCGGTGACTGCATGACCTGAGCACAAAGGATTGTAGCAGCCAGACTTGAGATGAAACAAAGGTAGGGATTAAAGCTTGAGAAACAAACCTGTGAAGCAGGAGAAAGGGGCTGGCTGTGTGCCCAAACCGTGGGGTTTGAGCCTTATTAAATTGTGATCAGTAACAGAATAGGATGGGCACGGCGTGGGGAGGAGCACACACAGAGCTGGGTTCAGTCCAGAATTACTCGGTCAAGGTGTTGTCACCAGCACATTGACACGGTTTTTTCCCACAAGACAATGTATCAATCTGCTGTAACTTGTATTTTCATAGTCCGTGCACTATTAGGGTTCTTAGGTAAGAAAATCTGTTACAGAATCTGTTTCCTGGTGTTACAATGAAAACTTTCAGCACTTTTTTATTCCAGATTCGGTGGGCTGCCTGTGGTCTCTTTTAAACCAAGTGTAAATATTTTCTGAGTCTTTTCTCTTGAGAGCTGATTAGGACAAAACCAGTGATGTATTTGATTTCATTTAGTTTCCTCGTCTGTTCCATGT